GCCTTGTCTGTAAAGACAACACCTCGAGATGTTCATCAGCCTCTTCTGATGCCCTGGAATCAAGGAGACCCTTAATTGTAGTTTCATTGAAAGAGGTCTGTAAGTGAGAGTCTTTGATCCACTCCACCAAGAAGGAGCTCTGCAACATGCTCCATCTCAGTGGTGTATGACTATCAAATATACTGACATTTTACAAACACTCAGATGGTCCAAGGTAATCAAGAACTTAGCAGGCTGAGTTGTCCTTGGTGAAAATGTTAAGGGAACACAAACCAGACTTGTGATTGCAAAGCGGCAGTAACACCCTCTTCTCTCCCTTACACCAAAAAAAAAAGCAACTTTAACCTTATTCCTTCCTCCTCCCATATCTAATTCCAAGCTGGGTCTGCTGAGGTTTGCCCTGATGAATCTGAGAAACAATGATTCTAGAGTAACACCACAACCTGTTATAGACACTCCAGTATCAGGACACAATGGACTAATCCAAGAAAGAAGAACAGTGTTTATTCAGGGTAATGAAGAGACTTGGGCAAAATATCCTGTGTACCAAAAGAAATATACGATTGTACTTGTTGCCAGATTAGTTGATAAATAAAACTGGAAATTGGAGAAGATGCATAGTTATACTTTTGTAGGAGAAACCAAAACAAAAAATTGTAGTTCATCCAAGACATCTGTGCGTGCTTTTTGTTAGCGTGCTTAGGTCTTTTAATTATTTTGGTTCAGTAGCAAACAGAAAAATCTATTATTTGCACAGCACTACTTGGGAGAAAAGCAGCTGAATACACACAGCTTGGTGAAAAGAAAATACAGCCTCTGGGACCCAGAAGACATACAGTGCCAGGTAAGAAGAGAAAACTCTCCAGGATGGTGAAGGAGGCAATGGCAGGCTGTGGGAATAATCATCAGAAGATTTTGAGCTAATATGAAAAACTCCCTGGACAAAGACTTCTTGGAGACATGAGTCTACTCCCTGGCAAAGCTAAGGGAACTTCATTAAGCACTTGAGCTCCGTAGGGTTTAGGTATGACTTGGATGTGCCCCACATAGATCAGGGGATGGTTTACAAATACAAATATTTTCCCCCTTCTCCCATCGGAATGTTTCTGACTTTATTACACAAATTTGAGTTGTTAGGAATGCACTCTCAGTTCTGCTTCCATACCAAGGTGAGCTCCATAACCAGAGCGTGCCCTGCACCACTGTACAAGACATCCTTCTTTCTATTAGCAGGACAGCACAGGACATCAAAGGCTAACATCAGTGGCTCAAATCATTCCCTCCCTCTTCATTTCCACGATAAGAAATATTTGTGCTTCTGTTTGTTCAAGCTGCAATTTGAGGAGATTCAGCTCTATGTAATTAAGGAATGCTCCTCCTTGGAATGGGTATTACCACTAGATAATTAACCATGTTGGGAGTCTGGCGTTTCAAGAAAGCAATCGTGCTTAACAAATGACAAAGCAAACTGCCTGTCGGGAATGTTTGCTGCAGAGGAAATTATCAGCATTATGAGCACAGTTTTGCTTTCTATTAAACACTCATTTACATTTCACTGCATGTTAATTTAGTTTTTAATTTTTAAGTGACTTCAGAGCTGGTGAAATTTGCCTCTCTATCTGAACTGCTCAGGGGTGTGCCTAAACCCACCCAAACTTGGAAGGCTGTCCCACCAGCCGAAAGGTGAAAACTCACGAGTCCCTGAACCACCACTGCCAGGCAACAAACAATAAAACCCCACCAAAACAAAAAGAAAGGGACTAGCTGTCCAAGACAATGATGTCTAATGGGGACACTAAGTGTGGGACTCCCATCAGCACACTCTGCTCCACGTAGGAGACCACAACTCAATGACCACAATGTGCAGAAACACTACCCAACCAAACACACAGCCCATAGTCTCCCTCAATCACAAGGAATTCACGAAGACTGAAGCCAGGTAAGACATTGCCTGTATTTAATTTCAAGACATCTACAGCATTGGTGAAGTTTTAGGTATTTGCCTTCAAAGCCAGCAAGTACCATGAGTTGAAGTCACCAATGGACCAGAGTTTGGTAAAGATGCCTTCACCTATGAAGGGTTTATTAAGTGAAAATTGTCCTATTTATTATGGAGACACATGCTGCTGCTTTTAAGTGACTCAAAACCAAAAAGTAATTTGACACTGGAGGGAACAGTTCTCCTGTTTTCCAGGGATGACATCCTAGTTTCTACCCTACCAGTGTCAAACTCAAGGAAGGAGCCCAACAGGCTTCTGTCCAACACTTCTCATTTCATTGAAAAGGGGGGGCCTTCTTGCTGGCATAGTCCTCCTACCTGAGTGCTCCCAGACCATTTTTGTTTGCATAAAATGGCCATCCCATTCCCTTAAATGAAAGTAAGATTATATAGTCTAGAGAAGCATCCAAACTTCCTGGCAATTCCCTGAACTGAGTCCCCAGGCGTCTGAAGTGTAGCGTGCCCATACCTTTGCCATCAGAGACGTTTGCTGCTGCCAAGTTGTCTAGCAGAAGGTGGAGACCGGGGAATGATGCTTTCACAGCCCCCAGAAGTTTGACCAAACTTTCTGCTTTCAGGGTTTTCTCTTCATCCACCTTCCTGAGCAGATTGTCCATGGCTTCCCTCTGAGAGCCGCCTTCACAGCAATCCAAAACCACCTGTGACAAAGAAACAGCCAAGGACCTGTTTGTGAGAGCTTCCTACAAACTCCTGGATATGAATAGAGATCAGAGAAACAGTAAGAGTATCACAGTGCACAGTACTGCAACAAATCCATATTCACTGTTTCCACTAATTAGATTAACTGGGAGATGTTACAGGGTGCTAGTTACACGAACATCTAAACACGTCCCAGGTATATCTGATGTGTCACCTTGAAAACTACCCTGGTGAGTTCTTCCACCAAGTCTAGCTCTTGGAAGTGGCTGACAAGCAAAAAACATTTTTTCAAAGGGAACAAAAAAACCCAAAAAACTTAAAGACAGGATTCAAAATAATATTTCATTTAATATCTTTAGCAAATACTTTTTAAATTGGCAGTGTCTTTTCCCTTGTCTCCCCAGTTTTTCTGCTTTTCATCAAAAGACAGGGATGAAGAGAAATTAAAAAAAAAAAAAAAAAGACTTGTTATTTAAATAAGCATCCTATTAACTGAATGATTATTTCTATGACGAGGCCACATGAGACATCTCTTATGTGAGATGCAATCACTGTAGCTTGGAAAAGCTTTAGCATGCCAGTATAATACCTACAAGGCTCCTACAAGGGAAAGCCAGTTGACAAATACAGGTTGACCTCCTCTCTGCAAAGACTGTGTTCCTAAGCATTTGAAATGTAGGACTGGCAGAAACTCTGTAGGTCACCAGCCCAGTTCCCTGCTGTCATAAGCACTACACTACATAGTCCCATTAATAAAATTATTAAGATCTGTCCTAAAACTAGTTACATTTTGGTCCCTTTCCCCTGGTTGGAAAGCTCTTCCACAGCCTCATTCCCCTGTTGATTCTTCTAATTTTCAGCTTAAATTTATTCATGGCCAGTGTATACCCATTTGTTCATGTGCCAACATTATCTTTTAGCTTAAAAAGCTCTTCTAAACCCTCCAAGGTGTTTAGTCTACCCTTCCTCTCCAATTTCTTTATAAGAGCACAATCATATTCCCTCTCAGCCTTCATTTCACTTTCTGAATAAGGCAGCTCCTCTCGTAAAACAGCTTCTCCACTCCCCTGATCTTACAACTGCAGATCTGTCTCTGCTTCAATACGAATTCACCTTTTTTGAACAAGGCTGGAACTGCACACAGGAATTTCAGATGAGATCTTAATTCTTCGTTCTCGTTACTGCATCTAAATGCACACCCTTCACTTTATACTACCACGTCATTCAATTCTCACTACTTAGTTCTTCAGCCATGTAACTCTTCTCCCTCTTGCAGATCCTCCTCTGTGTGGACAAAAGATCCCAGTTTTGCTCATCAGCAAGTTTTGCTAAGCATGCTTTGATATTTTTGCGTCAATAACATTAGCATTAATATTAAATAAGAATCAAGAATCCCACTGGTAACCTTGCTCCAACCTGTCAGTCCTGCCTTCAACACAATCTGTAGTTATCCCCCTGTAAGATACATCCTTTTTTAATATCACCGCTTCCTCTAGTTTAACGATTTCCTCACATGAAATTCAAATGCCTTGCTCAAGTCTAGATGGAGGCAGAAAAAAACATTTTTATCTCATCAAATAAAGATTCCAGGTCAGGCAGAAACAATTTACTTGAACACCCTTTGCTGCATTTTATCCCATTTTTTTTGCTTACATGCAGTGCTTCAGCTACATGTGCCCTCCAGCCTGTCCCAACACATATTTCTGTGCACCCACAGAGCTGACTGCCTAGACCACTGTTTCCCTCTCCCACACCTCTGTCCTGGTCACCAATTGTAGGGACCACTCTCAACTTGGAAAATATAGTAATAAACCTTGCTGTCGCTCTCATAGCCACGTGGTCAGCTCTTCCACTCTGTTGGAAGATGCCCTTTGAGTTGTGATTTCACTTCAGCTGCAGGAAATTTCTGTTTCTGTGTTTCTCCTGGATTTGGCCCTAGGCTCAGCCATGAGTTTGCAGTCATCTCCTCTCATTATTCTTTTTCTTTACTTGGTCAGACAAATGTTTGTTGCTTGCCACGATATATGCTGTGATGCCCAGCAGCCTGACATGCCACAAGCCTCTCTTCATACCTCTGAAGTACATTTCTTTGCCTGTTGGACATTTCAGCCATTCCTTGCAGGTCCTAATACTCTTCCTCAAGTTATTCATTCACTCAGGTCTGTAACCTCTCATACAAATTCTCCTCCCTCATTCAGGATGCAAACTTCAGACAGTTCTCCTACCTTTAACATAAAAGAAACTAATCCAACAGCTCCTCCTGTGCTCTTACGAGCAGCTGATCTCATTAATTAGTTTCTCTCATTTCTAAAAATCTGTCCTTTTATAGCCAAAACTCTGTTAGTGAACCTGTTGACATATCCTCCCATCTAATTCACACTGAGCTGACTCTGGATTGCTCAGTCTGAAGTCATCTTTTAAGAGAACACAAAAAGGGGTACAAGAGCAGCATCTTTTTGGGGAGCTCATGCTGTAACCTACCACTGCTCCCAGGCAAGTGTCAACAGGCACAGAAGTGATTGCCCTGGCAGTGGGGGATGCAGCGCTGACATTTTGAGACTCATTTTGACAACAACCGGGTGACAGTCAGAAAACATACCCCTGTTCTGCTTGCAACGGGACCTCTTCATCCCCCAGTGCATCCAGTTAGGATTGTTCCTGCAATGGCCAGAAACCTTGCTCGTGTTGTCATTCATACCTGTCCTAGCTCTGAAGCCGTTTGATTTGGACATCAAAGCCATGTAGGCAATGGAGCCAAAGGGAAGGGAAAGTACATTGCTCAAAATGCCCAATTCCCCCTAGAGCCTGGACAGAAGGAAAGGACGGGTGTTTTTACAAGCTACTCTGATGCTCCAGGTTCAGGGCTGTACTGTGGACTGGTCACTCTGAACTCTGCGACGACCTAAGCCACAGGACACCATGCACAAGAGGTTACCTGCTCTTCCTTTGTATCCAAGTTTATTTCTCTTAAGTGAGAATCTGCACCCAAGCCATCCCCGCAAATCCTCCACCCTACCACCCCACATGATGGCTTTATTAGTGTATCTGTAAAGTTAAGCACTCAAAAAGTAGAAATTCTAGATAAAAAGTTCCCCAGAAAAACAGGGATTTACAAAGGGGCTTCGCAACACATCATATACTGGTTTTCGAGCGAAGAAAATCAGACTTGCTCCATGCATAGCTTGGGCCAGGCACAGAAAGAACCCAGTTGCCTAGCAAAAAGGCTGTTACACGTAAAACTCATGCTTGTCTTGCTGAATAAATGTGTAGCTAATGAGGCAGTGACTGTGAGAAGAAAAAGGAAAGCCTCATCCTTATGAACCCTTGGAGAACTAGATCCTATCTCTGCCAGCCCAGAGCTCTCGTGCAATGCTGGATGAATCAGGTAAGATGAAACCTTCAGAGGTGGCTGCTAATTCCATGTTCATTTTCCCAGTACTGCACCTGAGACACCAGAGATCTCAACTGCACATATGCCACAGGCCCACAATCAATTTAACTTCTGAAATAATTAAGCACTTTTCCACTTGTTTGGAGGGGGGGGAAATAAATAAATAAACCAAGCCTGAAAAAAAAAGGGAACCTCCCAAGGTCAGTCTACACTTGGCAATTTTCACCTTATTTTCCTGTGCCACA